CTCGTTGTCGCAATGCGAAAAAATGCAATGATTAACAGGAAAATGCGTGCGCACATGCACCTTTTTCCTCCTCCTCTGGGCTTGTCTTTTTTTTTAAATTATTTCTTTTTTTTTTCGTTTTGGTTTGTTTTTGCTTGACTCCGGTGTTGTCTTCCTCTGGCGCTACATTGTGTTGTGGCACGACAAAGGTCTTGTGTCTCGTGTGCCGTGTGGAGCGCACATAGAGGAAGAGGGGAAATAGCCAGCGCGACACAAGAGTGATCCTTAGTGATGATAGGTGGCCAACACACAAAGGAGCGCTTCAGCGAGCGGCTTGAAGGGTGCCAAAACCAGCCCAAAAACCGTGGCTACCTTCCAGGTACAAAACTCTTAACCGGTGGCTACAGCACCGGCACCTTGCAGGGAAACTGGTGTGAAGAGCGCGCTGATGCCGGATACTACGACAACAAAGCTGTGCTGCCCACGCACCTCGCAAATATATGGACAACAGAGTATCGCACCATGACGGAGGGCACAAAAGGGGCCCCCGCTCCCCCTGTGTTTGATCAGGCCACAATGGTGGATATTGTCGACCACAACTTCCGCGCGTACCCCGCCCATCAGCCACACCTGGACCCGCAACGTGACGCGGTGATCCAGGAGCGTTGCAAGACGATCATGCGTGAGACATACAGAATGCCGGAAGATGCCAGGCGGCAGGAGGAGCAGCACGTCCCGCCTGTTATTGGGAGCAGTCCCACGGCGCAGGCGAAGGGTGTGATTATTCGCTTTCAACGCCAGCTGCTGCTCTCGCGGCGTGCTGAGTCCGCATTTCCTGGCAATGTGCTGCGGGAGGTGCGCCTCGCATTGCAGCGCAACGACACGGCGGGGGACGGGATGCTGACGGTGGAGGAGGCGCAGCGCGGCTTTGAAGAGGCAGGGTTGACAGCGAGCATCCCGGAATGCACGGCGCTGGTACGCGCCTACGATCTCAAGGATAATGGGACAGTTTCGATTGACAAAATTGTTGAGGTTATGCGTGGAGAACTGCGCGACCGTCGCTACAGCATTGTGGAGAAGGTGTACGAGCTGCTCAAAAAACTGTGTCCCGATGGAATTGTGCGTCTGCAGCGTCTGGTGGAACTCGTTGACGTTGACAGCATGAACTCGGTGAAGAACGGCACTGTCACGTCAGCTTGTGCTCACAATGCGTTTGCTGAACAGTGGGGACTGCCGAGTAATGCGTACATTTCGTTTGAGACATTTCTTTCCTACTTCATGGACGCATCATTCGAGATTGGAAGTGATCAAGAATTTGAGGTGCTGATGCGCAACGTGTGGCACCTTAGTGGTGGAAACGGGAAGTCAATGAACACATCCTGTAGACGCGTGCGGGTAGTGCACAATAACGGCCGCATTACGACAGAGGAGATTAAGAATGACTTGGATATCAAGGACAGTGACGCGAATATGATGGAACGCATCCTTGCCAACTTAGTTTCGCAGGGAATCAAGAATGCCGCCAAAGTGGAAGTTCTGCCGAATAAGGAGTAGGTAGGTAGAGATTCTGCGGTCACCGCTTTTGTTTGCTGTGGCTGGTGTTGCTGTTGTTGTTTTTCTCTCTCTCTGTGTGTGTGTGTGTGCGAATCCTCGCTGGGATGTATGATGATGTACATATCTAGGTATATATATATATATACAGGGACAAATGTGCAATGGGTGCTGTAGTCAAGAATAAAAACGACTTTCTGAGAGAGTTAGGCTTTTGTCCCACTTACCATTGAGCGGCTCGCTGCTCTTTAATCATGTTTTCCTTTTTCATCTCATGAAATTCATCTTGTGGCAGCCTAAGACTATTACCGCAGAGGCCTGAGTCATTCATTCTCTGGGAAAAAGTCTGTGAAAAAGAAAACAAATAAAGAACCGAGTGTGTGATTAAGGGTACCAAGGGCAATCACAACGCGAAAAGACAATGTTTCACCGCCCCACCTCATTTGTGTGCCGCAGAGTGGCTACTGTGGCTGCAACAGGCCTTGCAACAGAAAAACAACAAGGAGTCCATCAACAGAGTGCGGAAGGTAACTCTAAACCTGACACAAAACACAAGCAGATCTTCTTGGATAAGTTCCGCGAGCGGCTCGCCAATGACACAACAGGCAAAAACACACTTGAGGATTTCCTTGATATTCCCGAAGGGCTCCCACCAACTGCCGCGGCAGTGGGTCCCCTGAAACGCGGAGAGGAGCCGCTGCCACCGTGGCTAAAGCTTAAGGTTCCAAAGGGATTGTCGCAGCGGCCGCGCTTCAACAGAATCCGGAAGTCTATGCGCGAGAAGCGACTGGCAACAGTGTGCGAAGAGGCCAAGTGCCCCAATATTGGCGAGTGCTGGGGTGGTGACGAGGAGGAGGGGACCGCGACAGCGACCATCATGGTGATGGGGACGCACTGCACACGCGGCTGCCGCTTCTGCTCCGTTCTGACAAGCCGCAAGCCACCGCCACTCGACCCTCAGGAGCCCGAGAAGGTAGCCACCGCCGTGGCGGAGATGGGTGTCGACTATATCGTAATGACAATGGTGGACCGCGACGACCAGCCCGACGGTGGCGCGTCCCACGTCGTGCGTTGTGTCAACGCAATTAAGAAAAAGAGCCCCCACGTTCGGCTTGAAGCGCTGGTGGGCGACTTTCACGGAAGTCTTGAACTTGCTGAGATGGTTGCCTCGTCACCCCTTAGCGTGTTTGCGCATAACATTGAGTGCGTCGAGCGCATTACGCCCAATGTGCGCGATCGTCGCGCCACATACCGTCAATCCCTCAAAGTGCTAGAGCATGTAAACGTCTTTACCAAGGGCGCTATGCTCACGAAGAGCAGCATCATGCTTGGTCTCGGTGAGGAGGAAGAAGAGGTGCGGCAGACCCTCCGTGACCTGCGCAATGCGGGTGTGTCGGCGGTTACGCTCGGCCAGTATCTGCAGCCGGCACGTACACGCCTGAAGGTTAGCCGCTACGCACACCCAAAGGAGTTTGAGATGTGGGAGAAGGAAGCGATGGCAATGGGCTTCTTGTACTGCGCCTCTGGCCCGCTGGTACGTAGCTCTTACCGAGCGGGTGAATACTATATAAAAAATATTCTGAAGAATCGTGAATCTGCTGCTGCTGCTGCTGCGACTTCTACTGCTTCGGATGCTGCCTGTGTGACCTCTGACTGCCGAGAAGGACGGTTGAATTAAAAGGAATAGTAGCGAGTAAACAAGCACACAGAAGAAACTCAAAAAGAAAGGAAGGAAGCGACGTAAGGCGCCTCCTCAGTGGGCTGTTTGCTATGGGCTTCCTTTTTGTTGTCCCCCTTAGCGTTGTTAATTGTGTCGCTCATGAATGTCTCCGAATGTGTGGGGAGTCTAGGTTTTTATCATATCTCCACCGCTGACCATTACTTCTGGGATTCTCTTCGTATTTTTTCTTTTCTCCTATTGCCTTTTTTCTCTAATGTGCTGTGTGCCTTACTTGTAACGAGAGGGCCTTTGCAGGGTTCTCTCTGTGCCGCATTCACGTGTATCTGGGAGGTAGTGGCGGCGGCAGAGGCGTAGAAGAGTAGCGTAGTTCAAAGCGTATATAGAGGCCATTAACACTTGCCTGTCGTAGTAAGATTCCCCCCTGTGCCGAGTGGTGATGTACGGCGGGGAGAATAGGGAAAAAAGGACAAAAGCATCCCGACCAACGAAGGATTCCATTATTACACGTAGAGAAGCACAGTCAACATCACCTCATGTCACTTTCGTGTGCGACAGTGAAGGAGCTGAAACGTCAGTGCGCCATTCAAAGTCCTCTGATGTGCATTGCGGTGGCGTTCGCTTGTTTTCTGACGAAACGGTGAATGCTGTGGTGCCGAATTCGACCCCGGTGGAGAGTTTCAATGGTGCGGGTGCAAATTATTGGCGCAACATGGATAACATGGTTGTCGATCGCCTCTCATTATCCATGGACGACATCTCAGTTATGCGTCTGCGCGGGTGCCGCGCGACGGGGCTGTCGCAGGGGTGCTGCGGCGCCTCCGTCTCCACAAGCTACGTGCTGCCGCCCTCGCTTTACGCTTCCCCATTCGAGCAGCTGCTGGATATCGGCGCTCTGCGTGGTTGTTACAGCTACCACGACACAGGAAATACTATCCTTAACGGTGGTGAAGACTCCGTCGACAACCTGGCTGCTGCTGCTGCTGCTGTTGATGCAACTGTAACAATGCATGATGTAGGAGTGGAGATGGCGAATGATAACGATAAAAACAACAACATCCATGACGACGGCGATACACCATGCGGAGTTCGAGGCGACAGAGGCGTGCAGACACCAGGGTTGAAATTGGGATGTGCCCCCCGCATTTTCTCTGAAGCTCTTTCTTCGCTTCATCTGGAAAATCACGACAACCTTGACGCAATGATATCCCAGAGGCCAGGGAAGAACGCTGTCACCCCACCAGCGTCTTCACGCCCGAGCACCACATCTTCCAAGAACCACACACCCGCTTTCCAGCCTTTTTCGTCATGGAAGTTCCCTGTTCTCGGCAAGGTGGATTCTGCACCGGCCGTCTCTCTTCAACGTGCCGACTTAATCGGGGAGGGTGAGAAAGGGGCGTGGCACAATGGTTTTCAAAAAGAGGTCAATGCTGCTGCTGCTGCTGGGGGAGGTGGTGGTGGTGGCATTCCTGGTGCTAGATGTGGCGCAGTTAATTGTAGTGATAACGGTGACCGTTGTGGTTATGGTGCTGGTGGTGACGACGATGATGGTGATAATGATAAAAGTGTTAGTCTGTTGGAGGGTCAGGAATACCAGGGCTATAAGAAACGTCTTCGATTCATGTATGCCATTTACGAACGTCATGCCCTGCAGGAGGGACGAATAAACAACAATATCAACATATCGCAACGGGATACTAATAGGAATGGCTCGAATGCTTTGGCCCTTCACACATCTCTCCAGTGCCCATCGCCTACGTTCACAACGACATGGGTGCCATCTGGGTACTACAGCTTGGGTACACGGTGTAGCATTCATCACCCCAACAAACAGGTCGTCCCTGTCGTATCGCCCCTTCTTAACAGTTTGATGTCTCGCCAGCGTGATGAGTGTCCACGCAGCTGTACAGTGGTCATGGATCCATCCATTGTGGCTCTTATTGAAAGGCGCCCAGTGCTCCAGACGACTATTTTTGCAAGCCATACCTACCGTCAATTGCGTCGACAAATAAAGCAGCAAAAGCTGCAATCTTCTGGAGAAAGAGGTTATGGACCTGATGCGACGCCTTTTTTACCCCACGTGGAGGATTCGACTCGACAACAGGATATGTGTTCTGGAGGGGTAGCAGGAGGTATCAGTAACGTTGCAGCTCGTGAAAAAAGTCCACTTAAGAAGCTTTGGGCTACAGAGCGTGCTAGACGGTTGAATTCAAAGGTTGCTACCGGAACAACACCAGTGGCCGCAGCGACAGTCGCAGCAGGGGAAACCTCTTCTGCAGAGCCTGCTGCGGTGCCGTTAATGTCACGCGAGGAGCCGCCGAATTTGGTTCACCACCGAGTACTTACACAAGTGAACTCATGGAATAGTAAAGTCCACACCATTGACGGTATTAACCGTCAAGTCGATAACGAGGCAGATGACCTTGTTGTCTACGTGGGAATGACTTTGATGGGATGGCTAGAGGTTGTGGATCTTTTAGGTGCTGGCACATTTGGACAAGTTTTTCTGTGTAAAGATTTGCGCATTGCAAACGGCTGCTTCATGCACCCAATGGAAATTGAAGGAGAAGACTTTCAATATTGGCAGTGCTCGCATGAGTACATACCTTTCAGCGATCCCTCCATAATGCCGACACATCCGTCTCTTGTAGCCGTCAAAGTTGTGAAGAGTCGTGCGCTGTTTGAACAGCAGTCCGTCCTTGAAGCTGAAATGCTGGTTTGCATTGGTGCACAGACACCATCACAAAAAGATCATGGACCTTTGCAGAATGAGGGGTTTGGAGCAGCAGTTCACACGACAGAACCCCCTCAGGTGGACCCTCGGTGCAATTATGTTGCGAAAGTATACGCACATGGGATATGTTACGGTCATCACTGCATTGTCATGGAGCGGTATGGTGCTAACTTATTTGAATATGTCCAAAGCCGTGGATTCAAAGGTCTTCCTATGTATTACATTCAGACAATTGGAAAAAAGATTTTGTTAGCATTGACACTGTTGCACGATGAGTGCCGCGTAGTGCATTGTGATATAAAACCTGAAAATGTTCTACTAACCCTTGATTCGTGCATTTCAACTGTCACCATTCACGGATCAGGTGGACCTGTGGGTAGCAATGGATCTGGTGCGAAGGCCACGCTAGAGGCATCTGGTGTGCTTCTTGCTTCTTCAGTGAGGAAACCGTGTCTGAGCACCCGTCTTGAGGCTTCAATGTCGAATACAATAGATGTGCCACTTCCAGCCCCGTTACCGTTACGTCTGCACCGTGCGGTGCCTCTGGAGAAGGTTCACGACAAGACTCGGCGCGGAGAGACAAACACAGACGGAGAGGGAATTGGAGACGGCGGGCCACGAGAGGTGCCTTCAGGCTCCGTCATTCCACCACTTCATATTAAACTTATTGATTTTAGCAGTAGTGCGTACGTGGGTGGTTGTGTCTACACCTACGTACAGTCGCGGTATTACCGCGCCCCGGAGGTTATCATAGGTGCTGGCTACGGCCCACCCATCGATGTATGGTCAACAGGCTGCTTCCTTGCGGAACTGCTGCTTGGCCTACCACTGCTCCCCGGCAGCTGTGACTACCACCAGCTGTATCTTATGGAGGAGATGCTGGGTCCACTCCCCACGTCGCTGCTGGCTCAAGGGAGATTAACACATGATTACTATGACGCTGAAGATGCCGAACCTGAGCGCGAGAGCACAGCAAGCGGTAGTTCCACTCTTCTAAAAACGAAGACGAAGGGTCAGTCATCTTTTCGACTTTTACGTGAAGAAGAGTACCGTGCCCGTCACGGACAAAAGCAACCAGTGGAGTGGCGGTGCTACTTCCAATACCATACGCTTGCGGAATTAGTACGGAGATGCATGCTTACTGCCGAGGAAAAGCGAATGGCAATTGGGTGTAGCCCCATCGCCTCTGTTGGCGACATCTCTGAGGAGGAGGTGGAGCAACAAAAACCGATCAAAACTATTCTTGATGAAATGATGCAGCAACGCCTTTGGCTGTATGACTTACTGAAGAAGATGCTTCACGGTGATCCTTCAAAGCGGCCGACTGCACGTGAGGCCCTGGCTCACTCTTTTTTTACGCATACTCCGGAGTACGCGAAACCATATCTTCCTCTCCCAGAATGACCGCCCGCGGTGTGTTGTGTGTCTTATTTAAGTTTTCTCTTTCCTGAAGTGAAGAAGAAGAAAGAAAGAATTGGGCGTCAATATGATGGTTATAATCAGAGCGAATGGCAAAGTGGGGAAAGAGAGAGAGTGAGAGAGGGAGAGAAGCAAAACATTGCATTGGGGAAGACGGAAAAGAAAGGGAATGTGAGCACTGTAGGCAGCGGAAGCATGGCAATCGCGCCCTGCATGCTTTCTCACTCTCTTGAGTGTGCCTCCGTTACACGAGCTTCCGTGCCTGCAGTCACGCTTCTTTTTTTTTTTTGTTGTCACACTTCCTCCCCAACTGTCTTAACTTGATCTAGTGAAGTGGAAAAAGAAAGCAAACCAATATATTCCGAATGATTGAATAGAATAGTTTTGATTTTTTTTTTTCTGCCCAATCTCGCATTCATTGTTGTCTTTTTTTTTTTTGTTTCTTTGTGCTTCGCTCTCTGTGTGGTTCCGTGCAAATTTGCATTCTCTTCTCTTCGTGCGTCTATTGCATTAGTTTTTTTTTCCACCGTGACAAAGGACCCAAAAGGGGTATAGGAGGCACCTTCGAGTGCCAATAATTTGGTGTGTGTGTGTGTGTGTGTGTGCGTATATCTTTCTTTCCCGTCACAAGTTGGTGCCGCGATTTGTGGCTTCACACAAGCGTGCGCGCCACGGAGTTCGAGAACGAAACAGCTGCAGCTTGAGTCTGTGCGTGTAGGCGTCTTCCGGAGCACAGGGACCATGGGCTCATCGAACGGTAAAAACCGGTATAGCGGCAGCAATGTGACACAGATGAAGGGGAGTACATCCACGCAGTCAAGCAAGGCGTCGTCCTCCACCTCTGGCCCGACACGCCATTTTATAGTTCCAAAGCCGCCCGCCGTGCCGGCGTGCCTGCAACAGGGGCGCCGGGAAAGTGTGGCCGTGAGTGTCAATGAACGCGGCGAGCCGGCGACAACTGGGTCCTCTCCAGCAACAGAAATGGGACACACCACCAGCGAGAGCGCAAGTGCCTCACAGGACCTTTTTGTGGCACACTTACCAACATTTTCGAATGCTGATGAGTTAAATGTTGCATCTGGGGATCTGACGGCGGGGCAAAATACACTGGTATCTGGCGACGGTGGCTTGAACCATCAGCGGAGGGCACTTAAAGAGTTACAGCCACATGAAAAGGAAAGTAGCCCATCCTTTATGCGATATGATTCCTTTGATTATAGGCAAATTCGGGTCAAAAGCCGTTCAATGGGGACAAAAACCCAGAAACGACCGATGCATGGCCGCATTTTGTATTCCTCCTATGACAGTACATCTCGGAATATAGACACACAGTACGCGTCGAAGTTCATCGAAACCGATCTGCAGAGCAATGTTGATTCAACTCCGAACGCGAGCCGGATGAGCAATCCACGCTCAAACCAGGCCTTCTTGTGTGGTGTTGATAACACCAGGACACTGCAAAATGCGAAAGCAGTACTAAGAAAGCACATGCAACAGTCGCTGGCGTCCTCTTTGCATAGCATGCACTCAACAGGGCAGTGCCTTCGTAGCGAAGGCGATGCTCCTCTGGGGAAAGTCTACAATCCTTTAGTTGTGCATGGTAGTTTTGTAGCCCACGTACAAACTCCGGCACGAAATGGAGGGGGAACTACTGGTGAAAGTTGTTCCTTAAGTGCACCTGGAGGAGGAGGAGGAGGAGGAGGAGGGGNGAGGAGGAGGAGGAAATAGCAATTCTCATCGATTCACCAAGACTGTCGCGCCATGTTACACTCGGTCTGAGTCACGCTCGTATACCAATAACAGTTCCGTGTTAAGACAGCGAGACAACATCTTGTTGGATGCTTCTCCACTCTTTGAGTTGATGGAAACCTCTGTAGCCTCCGGCACCGGTGAGGAATCTTTAGCCGAGTGTGAGAACCCGTCAAACAAGGTGCTTCAGAAGACCCCTGTTCGTAACCCAAAATGTGCATCTTTATTGTTGAGCCCGCTGCCTGTTTATAGCGCTCGTAGTAGTAGGGCACGGGTGGCACACGAAAAAATTAAAGATACTGAAAAAGTATGCAAATGTGAGGGGGCTACACACCAATCTAACAACGGTGTTGCCGGTGAAGGTGATGATAGTAATATAAATTGTGGGGGTGGGACCAGTGGTGCTGGTTGGGTTGCTATTGGAGCAGAAGCTGGTGTTGGGTCTAAGGACTGGTACGCACGTCTCCGCGAGCATTGCCATTTAGAGGACTCGGAAGTTGTTTCCTCCCCCACTAATGATATAGTAAACCACGACGACCATGAAAATGAAGGCAGAAAAACAACATCTGCGGTGGAGTGAAAAAAAAAAAAAGTATACCCGTTTTTCGTGAAGGATTTCACGTCGCTGCGTTGCCACGCTAGCTGTAGTTAACTCGCATACTTTATCTTCAAGGCATGATTGACCGAGAGATATGCTATTTTTATTATTGGTCGTGCTTTAGTGGACGCCCAATGTGGTACTTCGTCGTATCAAATATCTACTGAGACGTTTTAATAGTAATCATCCACTGCATGATTTGGCTTCAGTTGCCAATTGAAAAGGAAAGATACCTTCGTTCATACGAGTTGATCTTGCTCAGAAAAAAAAAAAAAGGTGTCTTTGTTTACATGAGCGCTGTCTGGGCATTATCCTACTTCTCCTGCGTTTTGGCCCTCTCCTCATCACTGGAGTAGATAGCGAGAAGCCGTGTGGTGGTGGGGATACAAAAAAAGAAAAAAAAAAGAGGAAAAAGTAGCTTGGATTCGTAGTTGAGTGTATCTTATTTTTCCCTCCGAGCGCTGGGCGCAATGGAGCATTTCATGCACACACATACACAAGTGTACATCTATATATCTGGCGTAGTGCCGCTTCCCCATCTCATTCCCTACTTGTGCCGTTGACTACGGCCATCAACGACACAAAGCCCGATGAAATGAAGGGAGATAATTCTGAAAATGTACTTTGTTATGCCCCATTGTTTTTTTTTGTTTTTGTTTTTCTTAGTTTTGGCTTTCATCGAGTCAGGATTCCCTTCCGCAGCAAAAAAAAAAAAGAAAACTTCTCCCAAGAAGACGAAAAAAAAAAAACACAATTTCGGTATTTATTGTGCGCTACAGCAACGGATGTGTTCTTCGTTGGGGCATCTTTTTTTTCCTCGCCAGAAAGACTACTATGCTTTGGTGTGTGCGCGTTTTCCCGCAGATGAACAACAGCATCCCCATCTTCCCCACTAGCCGTGGATAAAAAAACGCTACGATCTTCTTTTATATTGTATGTTTCTCCTTTTGAAGAAAAAAAAAATGTTGTTGTATGTGTGTTTGTGCTTCTCCGTCACACCCGATTACAGGGTGGAGGAAGTGGAGAGAAATAATCAAGAGGGCGCGTGAATGCCGTTGTACTCTCTTTTTCATTCTTCATTAGTTGTGTACCGTGCCCTTTGTCTGTGGTGGCAGGTGCCCAGCCTTACAGGACGCTTTCGTCTGTTGCAATCTTCCCTTTCGTTCTTTCTTTCTTCTTTTTCTTTCGTTTAATGGCCCATTCGTCAAAGCTTCAGCAGAGGGCAAGCAAATAGTTGTTCTTTGCCGCCTTTCAAATCGTAAAGGCAGGCAAAACGGACTGAGAAGGTGAAGAAACAAAAGAAGGGGTTGTTTTGGACTTGTGTGCCCAATAACATAGAGGTCTAGGTGTAATTTTCTCTCTCTTTCTGTGTGTGTGTGTGTGTGTGTGTGTGTACTGCATTCAGTCATGGCGTGCAAAGAAATGGCACTGGAGGCGCAGCTATGCGGCACCTTTCGCTGCGCCGCAACCGTTATTGTTCGCACAGCGGCGGCAGACACGGTGCACCAAGGCGCGCCATCGGCCGCGGCGAACAAATATTCGCACGGCACTCTTACGCGAGAAGGGAACAATGGCGCTGCCGCCGATGCTTCGCGAAGGAAGATGGATACTAACGGCAACTCCACTTCATCTTCACATATCTTGCTAGAAGAAGGGCTGCGTCACACCCTGTGGTTGGCAAGAAATGAGGGTGACATTGAAGTTCGCCTCGCTTCCGCACCAGATCGTGTAGTTGGTCGCGTGGCTTGGAAGGTGCGCAGTATTGTCACGACGCTTCTTCAGATTGGACGTAACCGCGTCGTGGTCGGTCTCTCCGACGGGATGCTACGAGTGTTCGATGCAGTGACCTTGCTGGAATGCCAAGAGACACGAGCGCATACGGCGGCTATAACATCTATGCTATTGGTGACCATGCCAACTGCACATCGACCAGACGAGGTGGTCGGATTTCCTCGTGGATCGGTTTTCCTCACTGCATCAACAGATTGTACAATCGCCAAGTGGGACGGTGTGACACTGGAATGCCTCGGTCGTCTCAAGGGGCACTCTTGCGGCGTCACGGCACTTGCAGCCACCATGAGTGGCGCGTTCGCCTTCAGTGGTGGGGAAGACGGGTCGCTGAGGATGTGGTCCCTCATGGAAAACTATCAGATACTTGGCAAATCGACTAGCAAGAAAAAGACAGTGAAGAAGGGGACAAAAAGGAAGGATAGTTTGCTGCCCCCGATGGAGCAGTCACCGAGGCAGCTGCAAGCACATCCTCGTGCGGGCGGCGACGCCACGACGTCATTGACGACCGTGCCGCAATCAAAGCGTCGGTCTGTCACGCCCTCCACGAGGACGACACGAACGACGCGGACGACATCCATCGGGGTGACGGCACGTGCGGGAGTTCAACGTGGCGAGGGATCACGCGCGCGATCCGAGTCCCCTATGAAGCGCCCCGCCCCATCGGGGAGGCTGACTGAAACCAAGAGGATGGCTCTGACACCGCGTCCGGGATTGTTGCCCCGTTTTCGCTTCACAGAAGTCGAGGACAGTGTGGATGAGAAGGACGCCAATGCCGATGACGACGACAATGACGATAGCAAAGAGACTTCAGACGGAGACTCACCCTATATGAGCGTTCAACGTGGAAATGAAGCACCGCGTGGAAGAAGCAGTGGCGGCGGCGGCGGTGGTGGTAACGATGAAACAAGTAAAGTAAAGAACGCGCCAAAAGGATCAAAACTGAAGAAGATAAAAAAACGACGTGTATCGCGTTTTGACTCTGTGCTTGAGCAGCTTCTCGTCGCAACCGGTGACTCCTCAATGAGCCGTCGCCTCGCTTCTATACATGGATTCGGCGATGAGGATGCAGAGAGTGGTGTGCTGTTGTGGCCGCTCAAGAGTGAGCACAACCAGACGGTGACGAGTTTGGCCTTGGTGTGGGACCGGCTACTTGTTAGTGCATCCCGTGATGGCGTGGCAAAAATGTTTGCCTTGCCATCCGGAAGGTTGCTATGCAGCGTGCAGAGAAGTCACGCTGCTTTGTCAAGTCTTGTGGTGGATGAGGCGCGCTGCCTGCTTTGGATTGGTGGTGCCGATGGACGTTTCGCTGTATACAACTTGCTTCACACCGACGTGGCGCAGGTGTACAGCTGGCGCGATATCAGCATTCCACACCCAACTTTAGTACCACTGGCAGCGGACCAGTCAATGAGTCAGCTTTACGTGTTTGCAACGCTCAGTGGTGCGGTAAATTCAACCGGGCTACTTGGCACTGTCAAAATGCACACCGCCATTGACACAGCGAGATCGCTTGAACACGAACTAACAGCTGCTGAGTTACCTCAATCAAAAAAGACGCGTTGTGATGAAGCACGAAAACCGCTTGGTACTGGGATTGTGACATGTGTTCAGATAGACAACGGTACTGGCGAGTCTGTGACGAAGATGCGTTTGCTGCGTTCTTTGGACAAACAACTCCTCTCAATTCGGGCCACAATTGCCAGTAAAAATGTGCGTGATAGTGTGTTTCAGCGAATCCTGCATCGTCCCGTCTCACATCAAGGCGAGGAGCTGCCAGAATACCTTGCAAGTGAAAAACTGAGGGTAATTACTGCCCTGCAGTTCACTTGCCCTCGAATATTGATGCGGCGCGCCCTCTGGCGGTGGCTGGAATGGAGATCGCGACGCGTTTCACGTTACCGATCCATACGAAAGGTGTGCTTTCTCGCACTTGTTCAACAGGAACGACTGCTAGGTAGGTATTTCAGGCTTTGGCGTCGTAAGAGACTGACCAACAAGGTGTTGGAGCAGCACTTGGACCTGTGTACATTGGAGAGGCGTGCAAAGGGTCTTTTCATAGGTTGTCTGACGCAGAACAGTGCAGAAAGTTTATCAAACGGGTTGGGGGGAGCCCTCGCCCGGGCCAAGCGCTGCCAACTCATGCATAGATATTACCGTAACTGGCTCCAATTTGTAGGCGAAACGCGGCGTACTATTGCGCAGTCGACAGCTTTCAATCGTCTCTTTTTGTCTTTCTGCGACTCGAAATTCAGTGATGCCCCATTTGTATGGAAACGACTCACGGCTGCAGCAGCGGCAAGACAAAGGCGGCAACGCGCGCTGTGGTTGCTGGAGCAGCGGATGAGCCTCGATCATCTCAAGCGACTTCGACGCT